TGTGCCTGTCAAAGGGAGGCTAGCTTTCCAGGCTCCTTATTAGAATTGGTTGCATTTCCCAGATAGAACCCCATGGCGGCTGGAGCCTCCCAGCTGCTGCACCTAACATTCTTGTCTTGTTCTCTGAGTGCCTCCTGCTATACCTCCCAATTCTTCTAAAGTAAGATCAAGAGCTTAAAAGCTGAAGATCACATGGTGGCCAGTAATAGGTGTATGCACAGGCAGGTCAGGAGTGTGGCATCATGTCCTCCCATGTCTCCCAGAGATTGCTGTGTGTGGCCCATCAGGCCAGGAGCCCCACAGAGCTGTTTGTATGAATCCCATGCTGTGGTTGGGAGCCACTTCCTACTGTCTTTTCCTGACAACCAACAAAATTCCTTCAAAAGAGAAGTGGCTCAGAACCACCCTAGTGGTGTGTGTGCATGTGTGTTCTCTGGGTGTGGGGTGAATGTACATGCTGTGTGATTGTATTGGCCCCATCAGATGTGAGTTCGCGGATCGGCACCCACTTCTGGTATAAAGTGCAGTTTGTGATCCGCAATAGGTAACCACAGGTCTCTGCCTTTCCCTATTCATTTGCATAATTGACAGCTGCCTGTTGCTTCTTTCTGTTTTCCTTTTATCTGTTCATCTCTGACTTGTATGGCCAACACTGTGCATGCAATCCTAAGAAATTTTCTTAGAATTTGGAAGGGAAGTGCTGCCCCATTTTAGGTAACAGAATGTTTATAGGGATAACTGAGACCATAACTGAGAAACATCATTACTTTTTGTTCTTAGGTCTGAGGACCAGATAAGCAGTATGTTTAAATTAGGTGCAGTTGGAGCTTATGTAATCTAAGTACATTTTAATGGAGACTAGTTCTTGATCTCTACAGGGAAAATAAGAATTCTCAAGTGAACTTACTCCAGTACTTGTCAGAATTGTGATGAACATTTAATAGCATGCTTACTTGGATAGGCAACAACCCCAAATGCATTACAATATGCTGTGGTGAGCTCTCCAGTGGCTGCCAAGTCTGTGTTGTTTGAGTTAATTATGGCATATTCTCTTCAATTATTAATTTTCTCACGTCAACACCTACTGCAGATTAGGCAGAATCATAGCAACCAGTCATGATGGTTCTAGAGCACTTGAACTAGAGAACAAAGGGCGGGAACATGTGAGCTGGGTCACATTCTGCCCCAGATCCAGCCCTGGGCGTTCTACCCTGTCAGGTGGCAGGGCAGAATCAGCTCAAAGCAGAGCTTGAAAAACACTAGATGACCAGAGTTTGTAGAAATGACAGTTCGGGAGTTTTCCCAAAGTAAGAAGAGTCAGTTTAAGAAACTGTCTTGAGCCAGGTGTGGCATAGTCTTAGAGCACACCTCTAAACCCAGCTATTTGGTAGTCTGAGGCAGGAGGATCACAAGTTCAAGGCCAGCCTCAGCAACTTAGTGAGACCCTGTCTCAAAATAAAATTTTTTAAAAGGGGGAAGGCTCAGATGTAGATCAGAGGTAGAACATTTGCCTAGCATGTCTTCAATCCCCAGAACTGCAAAAAAATTTTTAAATAAACACCAACGCCAGGGAAGCATGTGGAAGTAGGAATAACCTGGCTGCACAGACCCATGAACACCCCGATGGCACCTCTGGCCCCTGGATGGGCAATCAGTGTGAGACGTCCCTGGGGTCAGCGAATCTACAACAGCAAGAAGGACAGGATGACACCAATCTATACAGTGGTGGAGGGTAGGATTGTCAGAGCAAAGGTCTCTAATATGGGCCCCCAGTAAAATGATCGTATAACGCAGAACAGATGTTCCTCCAGTAAGCACCCGCTGAGCTCCAGAACTCTTGGGATCCTGAGGTTGTGGCAGCACAAACCAGCCATTTCTGGCTAGGCCTTACTGAATGATAGATCTTCTCTTGGGACCCAGGACTGGGATGGGTTTTTGTTTTTATTTGTATGTGTGTGTGTATGTTTCCTTTTCCTTTCTTTCTTTCTTTCTTTTTCCTTTCTTTCTTTCTTTCTTTCTTTTGTAGTACTGGTGATTGAATGCAAGGGTGCTCTACCACTGAGTTATATCCTCAGCCCTTTTTATTTATTTTTAATTTTATTTTTGGTTCTGGGGTACCAAAAGACCCAACCCAAGTTTGCTCTACCACTGAGCTATATCCCCAGCACTTTTTCCTCCTTATTTTGATACAGGGTCTTGCTAAGTTGCTGAGCTGGCCTCGAACTTTCGATTCTTCTGCCTCACTCAGCTGCTAGAGTGTGGTTTGTGAAAGTGGGTTTGAAATAAAGTCAGCTTCAGCAGGGGTGAAAGCTTCCTGCTTTGGCTATGGAAGGAGGTCCACAGAACCTGGGAGCCTGCTGGGTATCCAGGAGGAGCTGCATCTCTGGTGCGCTCGTGTATGGCGACACCCAGTGGCTGGTCCCTTGCATCATGTCTTTTTACAAAGGAGAATAAACTAAAACCTAGCCTTTGAGCACAGGACAGAATTGGAAGGTTTTCACTCCTAGGAGTTCTGCCTCCCAGTTTGAAGGCTTTGTGGAGCATTTCAGATGCCCTCTGTAGAACACCATAGCTCAGGAAACACAGAGTCCTTTGGAAATGTGTCTTTAGAAGAGCTACATTGTTTATGAAGACTGGCTTAGTACTTAGTTGTTTTTTTTGTTTTGTTTTGTTTTGTTTTTTGTTTTTTTTTTTGCAGGGGTTAGTCCTGGGGATTGAACGTGGTACATTTAACCACTAAGCCACATCTCCAGCCCTTTTTATGTTTTATTTTGAGACAGGGTCTTTCTAAGTTACTTAGGGCCTTGCTAAATTGCTGAGGCTGGCTTTGAACTTGCAATCAATGCTCCTGCCTCAGCCTTTGAGCCACTTGGATTATAGGTGTTGGCCACCACTCACAGCCACCTTAGGCACTCTTAACACAATGATATTTGGCCCTAAATCAATGTGGATGTCATAGGGAGTGGGAAGCTTAGACACCACAGGCTGTCTCCTTATTCCATTCATTCAACCAGGCAGCATTTATTAAGTGCCTGCCAGCTGAGGACATTTGAATGAAGTAGACACAGCCCTGGCCTTCCACAGGGCAAAGGAGAGATAGTAAGCAGGAATGCCAGCAGGACTCTTTGAGAAAATCAGGACAGACAGGGCTACATATCTGGGAGGAACTGGGGAAGGGGGACAGAGCCGGCTTGCATTTTGCCGTCAGATGCTTCCCTGGAAAGACATTTCTAAACTGTAATGAAGGGTGATCAGAAGCCAGTTCCAGGCCAAGGGGACACCCTGTACAGAGACTGGCCCAGGAGGATGGGAGAGGTAAGCTGGAGCAGGCTAGGGCTGACCATGCCAGGCCTGTTACATGTATCCTCAGGGTAGGTTTCGGTAGGGAGTGAAGTTATCTCTTCTGGTCTTCTGAGAAGATCCTTGCAGATACTGTGTTGGTAGAAGGGCAAGAAAGGAAATGGGGGAGGTCATGAAGAGACCAGAGCCACAACCCAGAGGGAAGCAGCAGTCGGGGGGTGGCGGGGAAATGGAAGCCACACTCTCCATGCTTGAGGCCCAGGGTAGGGCTCGCTCCAAGAAGCCGTGTGGAGTCCACCCCAGGTAGTAGTGCTGCACAGGAGGTGAAGTGGAGGAAGTGAGGATGGGTTCACAGGAGGAGGGGTAGCTCAAAGGTGAGCTTCCCGCTTGGCTGTACAGACTGGCATGCACCCTGGAATTGAGGGTTCTTGAGGTGCACCATTCCTTTTCTCAGTTCTCAGTTGTTACTCGGACCCTTTCTGAGCCCAGGAAGAGTTGGAAGGCAGCAGACAGCAGAGGAAGAAAGCCTGAACTCTGAGGCTTCAGGGATAGAAAGGAAGGTTCTGGAAGGAGCTGTGCTGCATCAAGAGTTCAGCTATGACATTAGCCCCAACTGGCCAGGTTTTTAGCCTATTCTGCGGGCTTTTAGGGTGAGGGTCCTATTTGGGGGGAGTGAGCAGTTGACAAGTACCTACAGGAAGCTGCTCCTAAGTATACCTTTGGCACAGATTGCCGCCTGCCTGGGAGAGCCTGCTGGTCCAGCCAGGGCTATCGGGCCCCTGAGGGTGGATAGTGTGAGGAGTGTCCTTGTCCCTCCAGCCCAGTTCCCCCATTCTCCTAGAGCAGCTCCTTGGCAGCAGGGCTGACAAGACTCCACCCCCACCAGCTGCCGCGTTATTTCTGACTCATCCAGGAGTTACAAGTATGTAACTCAAGCCCCTCCACGCCTGCTTCCTCTCCTCCTCCTCCTGGAGGGAGGAAGCTCTGGGCTTCTCTTCTGGGGCCTTGCTGCAGGTCAGGTTCCTGAGATACCTGGACACAGCTGCTGGCCTTCACAACTGCCTGCAGGAACCACCTTTCAACAGGTGGGGTGGGTGTGTGAGGGTGGTGACAGCCGACCCCACTGGGTGCCTGTGTCCCACATGCCTGAGCCAGCCTCTTAGGAGCTGACCTCTTGAACTCAGCAGGAGCTTTTGCACAGGGAGCCGTCTCTGTGTTTGGGGACTGGGCACTGGGGCAACCTCCCACTCCATGCTGGAGTGGAGGTTTATCTCATGGTTTCTCAAGCCACAGGCCCCAACCAGCCACTTTCATTGACGTAACTTTGCACCTTGTACAAATTGCTTGCTTTAAAAGCCTGGGACACTTTGGCTTCTTGTACCATGTCCCCTGCAACTTGTTGTAGGCACCTTGCTGCAGGTTGTGTGGGAGCTAGAAGGTAAAAGTGTCAGCTCTCTCCCTGGCCATGGAAGTGGCCAGGACCCCTGCAACACCCTCCTGGAATAAACTGCTCCCGGGCTGCCTGGAGCCAGTGGGTGAGGGAGAAGCTGGGAAGCTCTCCACCTCCTCTGTGCTCTAAGAAAGCAGACCCTAGGGGAAGGGGCTACTGGGGAAAGTGTGGGTCACCCACAGGTGACTATATCAGCATGTCTCACCCTGACCCCTGACCCTTCAATGTCTACCTGACCCCACAGGAGTCCCAAGAGCTGGGCCAGGGGGATGAACCGTGAAGGAGCACCCGGGAAGAGTCCGGAGGAGATGTACATTCAGCAGAAGGTTCGAGTGCTGCTCATGCTGAGGAAGATGGGATCAAACGTGAGTGCCTGCGGGGGCGAGCACCAGGCTTCCCAGGGAGGGAACTGGCTGCCTTGAAGCAGGGGACTGATCCCCCTCCTGGGTCACTGTGGTCTGAGGAGGAGGCAGCTGGGCCTGTAATTCAGCTCTGTGGCTAGTATAGGCCTCCCAGGCACAGAGCCCAGCATGTCCAGTTCTGAGAGTGCCACTGGGGCAGCCTCCCACTCTGTGCTATGCTTGAGCCGGGTGGACAAGGGCCTCAAGGCCCTGACCTTCTATTTTTCTTCCCTGCTGATTCCTGTGAGGCTTCTGTCCCAGGGGCATGCAAACGGCAGCTGGGCACTGAGGGGACAGCAGACCTGCAGGTGCAGGGAAGTTTTTGGGAAGAAGGAGGGATTCAGAATTGCCCATTGGCCATCCATCAACTCTCTAGGCAGGGCCTACGCCTTCCCACTGGCCTATGTCAGACCAGATGCTACAGTCAGATTCAACCCAAATACCCAAGCCTGTGGGCCTCAGGGACTAAGTATTCAGGGTGGGAGGGGTTGGGCTGCTTTGGACTAGAGAGGTCAGATCTCAGTACTGGAGGCCCAGGGAGCCAAGGAGGAGCCTCCACTGGGATCAGGCGGCCCGGGAGGGGCCTTTCAGGGAGCAGGTGCTTGCTGCCCTCACTGCTGTGCTCTCACCCTGCAGCTGACAGCCAGCGAGGAGGAGTTCCTGCGCACCTACGCGGGAGTGGTCAGCAGCCAGCTCAGCCAGCTGCCACAGCACTCTATCGACCAGGGTGAGTCAGGGGCCGGGGGCCAGCCAAGTCCTTCCCAGGGCATTGAGCAGTGGTTCTTTAGAAAGATGGACTTGGGACAAACGGGGCCACAGCCCCTTCTCTTCCACAGATGGATCCTCCTACCTGGTCCCATCTTCTTCCCCCAGTAGGAGCTGAGCACCCAATAAGGCAAACGGTGGGGTTCCTTTTTAGGCCTGGAGGATGCAAGGAATGGAAGTGTATGGGAGCCCTTGTAACTGCAGGGGGTCTGCTTGCATTTCCTTAACCGTGGGCATAGGCCATGCTGTGACTGGTGTGATCCTGGCTCTAGCCAGAAGGGATGCCCAGACAATTCTCATGATCATGAATAACAGTGTTTATGGTGTTGCTGCTATTTGTTTTACTTCCAGTTAACAGGCAAGGAAACTAGGCTTAGCAGCAATGTCATTGCTGTTGGTCATATAGCCAGTGCAAACTGGGGTGCAACTCACAGCCCAACTAGAGCAGCCATTTACTATCTGTCCTCGCTCCTGTAACCAGTGAGGCTGCTGGGCAGCTCTGCATCCCATGGCCACTTATCAAGTACTGCCTCTCTTGGAAGGCTTGTCCTAACACTGTAGTCCAGTATTCTTTTTTTTTTTTGGGGGGGGGGGCAGTACTTTGCCAGTGCCTCACACATGTGAGCAAGTGCTGTACCACTGAGCCACATCCTCGGTGTTCTGTACTGTACCCCAGTATTCTGACCAGCATCTCCAATTAGTCCTTTCCTGGTATTCTGTTCATGCTTCATGGGATTATTGGTCATGAAGTCTTCCAGCCTGTGGCATGTCCAGACGTGAGCAGGCTCCCAGGAGCAGAGTGCTGACGCTGTTGGCTGTGTGGTGAGGCTGCTGGGGATACAGCTGATCTGGCACCCAGGGCTGCCGCCCTGGTTCTCCTGAATGTCTTGGGCTCTGCCCTGGCATGGGAGCACGTTCTAAAGCACTGACACTGGGTGTGACCCAGAATGTGGACTCAACTCAGCAGAAACCTTCTGGGCACTCCAATGGTTCCAGTAGTTCCCTAGACACCACTTACCATGTATAACCTGCCTGGGCGTGCCCGTCCCAGAGAGCTGTGCCCTAACCACTGCCACAGCCCAGCCTGTGTGCCAGGTGCTCCGCCCTCCCAGGGTCTCGTGGGAAAGACCTCCTTCCTCCAGGGCTGGTTTAGGTTTCCAGTGTGGGAGTCTCTGCTGGCCTCTGAGCCAGCTCTACCTGAAAACCTCAGGCTTTGTAGTCCCTGTGGACTCACCTTCCTCCCCACTTGATCCTGGGTCACTGAGTCAACCAGAGCTTGAGTGAGAGTGGTGGAGTGGTAAGGGCATCTTTAGTGGAAACCTTTTTTTCCTTTTGTGGTGCTGGGGATGGAACCCAGAACCTTGGGCACACTAGGGAAGTGCTTTACGACTGAGCCACACCCCAGCCCTACAGGAGCTCTTAATAGAAAATCAAGGTAAGTTGTGGGACTATAATGACAGAACCACAGAGTCCCCACCACTTAAGCTCCCTGGGCTGTTATTTTGTGTGTGGTGCTGGAGATCAAGTGAGGGCCTCGCATGCTTGCTAATACAGCTGTACTACGGAGTTGCCCAGGCTGGCCTGGAACTTGCTGTCCTCCTCACTCAGCCTCCCAAGTAAATGGGATTACAAGCATGCACCACAGCACCAGGCTTAGTTTTATAAAACTAATTTTTGCCATTGTTCATACGTTCTTTTTGCAATAAGAGGTAGTCAAAAAAAATTTTTTTTTTGGCACTGGGGTTTTTTGTTTTGTTTTTTTATTTGTTTTGTTTTGTTTGGTACCAGGGATTGAATCCAGGGATGTTTTACCACTGAGCCATATCACCAGCCCTTTTTATTTTTTTATTTTGAGACAGGGTCTCATGAAGTTGCTTAGTGTCTCTGAGTCACCCAAGCTGACCTTAACCTTGTGACCCTCATGTTTCAACTTTCCTAGTTGTTGGAATTACAAACATATACCACCACAGGCAGCTCAGTCTTTTTATTTTTTTATTTTGAGACTGTCTCACTAAGTTGCTGAGGGTCTTGCTAAGTTGAAGAGACTGGCCTCAAACTTGCAATCCTCCTGCCTCAGCCTCCTTAGTTGCTGGTGCCACTATACCTCGCTCAGTCCTTTTTTATTTTTGAGACAGAATCTAGTTAAGTTGCTGAGACTGGCCTTAAATTTATAATCCTCTTACCTCAGACTCTTGGGTTGTTGGGTTTACAGGCATGTGCTGACATTCACAGAATTTTTTTTTTCTTCTGATGCTGGGGATCAAGCCCAGGACCTTATATGTGCTAGCTGTGGACTTTTACCACTAAACCATAGCCCCTGGCCTTAAAAATATATTTAAAAAAATTTTTTTTTTTTAAATTTTTGTGCTAGGGATTGAATCCAGGGGGTACTTAACCACTGAGCTACATCATCAATCCTTTTTATTTTTTATTTTGAGACAAGTTGCTGAGGGCCTCGCTGAGTTGCTGAGTCTGACCTTGAATTTGTAATCCTCCTGCCTTAGCTTCTTGAGTCACTGGGATTATAGGCATGTGCCATGTGCTCATCATTTTTTTCCCTGGTGTTGGGGGTCAAACTCAGGACTTCATGCATGCTAGACAAATGCTTTACCACTAAATCATACCTCCAGGCCTTAAAAATATTTTTTAAATATTTTTTTTTAAATATATTTTTAAGGGGGGCTGGGATTGTAGCTCAGTGGTAGAGCACTTGCCTATAATGTGTGAGGCCCTGGGTTCAATCTTCAGCACCACATAAAATAAATAAACAAAGCATTGTGTTCATCTACAACTAAAAAAAAATTTTTTAAATATATATATATTTTTAGGGGTCTGGGGTTGTGGCTCAGTGGTAGAGTGCTCGCCTAGCACGCACGATGCCCTGGGTTTGATCCTCAGAACCACATAAATATAAAATAAAGATATTGTGTCCACCTAAAACTTGAGAATAAATATTTAAAAAACATTTTTTAAATATTTTAATATCTTTTAAAACATATTTTCAATAGGGTTGAGGTTGTGGCTCAGAGGTAGAATGCTTGCCTAGCATGTGTGAGGCACTGGGTTTGATCCTCAGCACCATAAAAATAAAATAAAGATATTACGTCCACCTATAACTAAAAAATAAATATTTACCAAAAATATTTTTAATAGAATTCTTTATCTCATATAACTGAACCAAGAGTTGAGAGTAAAAGGAGTTCTGCTGAGTTGTGAAAGAAGGTTGTGTTGACCTCACCTCGCTGTTGCCTGGGCCCCCAAACTGCTGAGCAGCCAGGATTTACTAGACTGTTGGGTGGTCAGCTATGCCAGCACTGGAATCTGGGCCCTGCTGGGTGTGTGGCATCCAAATACACTTCCCTTTCTGGAGCAAGGGGCTCTAGGAGCCAAAACTTGAGCCAAGGAACGCTCAGAAAGAATCACTGAGAAGAGGGTGGATGACATGATTCTCTGCTGCTGGGGTACCCTGAAGCCTGCCCCTTCCCTTCTGGGAAGGAAGGTCCCCTCTGACCTGGCTGTGGAGGCCTGAAGCACATGCTGCTGCAGGAGTCCCAGAGAATTACATGGCTGAATTAAAGGGAGGGGTAGCTGTGCCAGAAGAAGTTTCACAAACCTGTTATTTTGTATGTGTGCCTAAAGACACCACAAATACACAACAACAGAGTCTCAGTCTCATCTCTCATACTGTGCAGGTCTAAGCCAGAAGTCTGCATTTGTGCCCATACTACGGGGCCAAATTGATCTCTGCTAAAATTCTAACCTGCCACTTTCTCCATTGGCAGAGCCGATCTCAACTGATAGCAGAGTATCCTGCTTTCAGAGGCTCAGGCCCTGCCCTGTGGCCAAAGCCTGAATTGGTGCCCCCAGGACACTGGGTAGGACTAGGGACACAATGGGCAGAGCCCCAAAGGCTTGGAGCCTTGAGATGAGAAGGCTGGCTTGAGCTCCTCCTGCCCACTAGGTGGTGCTGTCTCTCAGCAGATGGCAAGCTGCTCCACCCTAGACTTAGATGAGATCCCGGGCTCCCTGAGCCTCTCCTAGGTTTCCTCTCGGCGCCCACAGGACAGCACTCAGCATTGTCTCTGTGGGTCCAGACACAACCTTTAGGCCACACTTACCTACCTTCCAGGGCTGGAGGGATCTAGTACCTGAGCATCTCATCACAGTCCAGCCACGTTTGCTGAAGATGGACGGCTGCTAGAGACCCTGGGACATAGGCCTATACCTTAAGGCCTGACCAAGTGGTTCTAGTAGAGGGCCCAGTGGCCTCTCAGTACTAAATGGTCAATCTCCAGGTCCTAAGCTCCTCTGGCCTCTGCCTCTCCCTTTCCTCCATGACCCCTTTTTTCCTTTCTCTGCCCATTGCTCTCTTCTCCCTCTGTGCTGTCCTCCAGCTTCTGCCCTCTGTCCTATTTTCTCTGCCTCACACAGTTTCCCTAGGTGATCACATATGTCCCTGTGCCTTCAACAGACAGCTCAGGTCAGTACCTTCCAAACATATTCCCTCAATCCAGACACCTTTCCTGACCTAGACCTTCCTGTGTGGCTGTCAACCATACGGCTTGGCACAGTCTCCCCACACTCAGCAGATCTAACTCTTACCCTCTCCCCACCAAGAATCTGTTCTTCCACCTGTTTTCCTAACAGACACCCAGAGACCAGGGCTCAGCCTGGACTCTTTCCCAGCAACCCCATAGGTACCAAGTCCTTTGGACTCTCCTACCTTATTATTCCCAAATCTGCTTTGTCCTCTCCCTCTTTTTTTGGTGGTGGTAAGGGAGTACCAGGGATTGAACTCCGGGCACTCGACTATTGAGCCACATCCCCAGCCCCATGTTGTATTTTATTGAGAGAGAGTTCTCACTGAGCTGCTTAGTGCCTCACTTTTGCTGAAGCTGGCTCGTGATCCTCCTGCCTCAGCCTCCCAAGCCTCTGGGATTATAGGGGTGCGCAACTGTGCCC